CGGCATTCACAGGGACTCAGTCTCGAGTTATGTAGACTCTAGACCTGTGAATGCCGTTCTAGGCATACCACCCCCGGACATAGACGAGACGGAGCTTCATCTGCCTCGGGAGACACGCACAACACTCGCACAACTTCGCTCCGGCTACTGCAGCAGGTTGAACTCCTACTTGAGTAGGTTGAATGAGGATGTGCCGAATGAGTGTCCGGCATGCGGAGAGACCCCACATGACTCGAAACATCTCTTCGCATGCCCGGAAAACCCGACAACCCTAACGGCCTTGTCCCTGTGGACAAACCCCACAGAAGCTGCACGCTTCCTAGGGTTGCCGTTAGTGGAACTTGACGACAACGACTGAGATACCAACCGTCCTGGGCGGGGTTGTTGTAGCCGCTACAACAACAACAACAACCTTACACTTCATTTTAATTTAATTTAATATTAAAAAACCACACAAAATGTCGAAAAAGAATCAAAAAACTTTATTCACACACAAATCGCAACGGTATTCAAAATTCAACTGTAGACGAACTTATTACATACATACATATAAACATGTCTGCATACATACAAACATTTTGCTAAAATGACGTCACACGAACAGCTGATTCTGTCAAATTCGCCAAGAACAAAGTAGCGGTACTGCTGATTGCGCCACCTCTGTCTCCCTACATCGTGTTTGACAACGGTGACTTAACCCTTCTTTGCCTCCTTGATTTTTCTAAGGCACTTGCCTTAGTAAATCACGACCTACNCCTACAAGAAATCTTACTGGCAAATGACTGGTCATCTGACGGTCAGTGCTGATGCAATAATGCTGCAATTTCCTCATCAGAAATTCGGGGGTAATATGAAAAACCTGACCAGTTCTTTTGTGTAGATGTCACTATGCTTCCCTTCCTCACATGGGGATTTTACCAGCAGTGTTAGAAGGTCTCTTTTCTACTTATTGTATTTCCTAATGTTATTTTTACACATGGTTTTCTGAGTATTGGTGTATATTTTAGTGTGTTAGTGAAGAGGACAGAAAAAAAGTCCTTTTCTTGTAGGGTACATCGTGGTAAAATCCATCAAATCATGCAAGGCGAATTTATACAAGGTGGTGTTGTCCAATCAGCTGATTTCTTCTTCTTTCCTTCGCCTTACATGTATGTTGTTTTTGCTTTTACTGATTTGACAGCATGCCCCTGAATAGCACCAACAAAATACATGTAAACTTTGAGGCGAATTGAGTTTTGACATTTTGCCCCTGATACAAAATACATGTGGTTGTTGTTTGTTGTATTCTTGCTACCACCTTGTATAAATTCGCCATGAAATCCTGCTATTCGTACTGCTGTTGGAACGCAACAATTTAGTAGGAGGTGGAGACGTGGGGTTAATTCGCCTTGGCCTGCTGGAATTCTTGCCTGCTGGGTGTAACAGATAAATCGATTATTATGGACAATAAGGGTATTCATCAAACCTTATAACCGTATAAACTTATAATTGTGTAAACCTTATAAATGAACTGTCAAAATTTGTATGGAAACACGTTTACACATTTCTGATTTATTTATTTAGCGATTTCACTGAATAAACTTGATAAACTGAAGCCAATGCAACTCTGTCGCAACTTTAGCTATGTTTTCTTCCACAATAATCGGGATCCGCATACAAATTTTGCACGCAAATTCAACAACAACGATCTGATCCTGATAGAGATGTGGTTCAATTATTATCCCGCCTGTTTGTTTTGTTTCGCTGATAATTTGGCCGCAAAGTTTTGGTAGCCGTGACAAATGAATTCATACGCAAACAGACATTCTGCCATTGTTTCTTCTAACTTGGTTCAAATTAATCGCCTTTATGTTATTTGTATATTTATTTAAATAGATATTATCTCGTAAATATAATTGGTTCCAATTTAGTGAGGTAGTTTCTATAATTTCTTTATACCCGTGCTAGTAGTATAAAGTTAGTGATACTGAGCTCTATAACGAAAGAAAACACAACTATTGTCGCAATTGTAAACGAAAAGAGAGTGTGGGTCGTTCATGTAACAGAGTGCGTAAACTTATAAGATTATCTGCTTGATAAAGTTATCGGTTTAGATGAATACCACTAATATCTATTTTGACTAGCCATGGGTAATAGCGCAATTTTTTTGGCGCTAGCTCAATAATGACAGCGCCACCAGTGGTGTCAGCGTACTAACTCAGCGCATTAGTGCANGATAGCGCAATTTTTTTGGCGCTAGCTCAATAATGACAGCGGCACTTGTGGTGTCAGCGTACTAACTCAGCGCATTAGTGCAGTGTACTGAATTGAACACGGTGCCATCTGAGTGTCACTACAGTACCCATCGTCATACAGTGTAGTACACCATACAGTGGTGTCATGTCTATTATTTCTATAATTTTCGGCGCTGAGCAACGCTTGTATCGCCAACCAAATTTAATTGATAGGAATGTAGTAAATGCCACGATATTCTCATCATTCTTGAGTAAGAGCTTTAAATTTGCGTTCTCAACGCTAAAAAGCAAAAACAAAGTACGTGTAAATTTTCAAAGGCGAATTGTGTTGGTTGGTGTTAATGGCGCTGGCGCTTTCCATATACTGGTATTGGCGCGGCAACTCCGGCTACGGTGTTAACGTAATTGCGCCGCGCAGTGTTACCCATGCATAGTTTTGACTGTTCTTCATAGTGAATTTATTGTTTATTTTGACGGACTGGTAGAATTAAATATTTTTTGGAAAACAGGATATTTCTTCCTTTGTAATGTCTCATGATCGAGAAATTCTGCGACTAATATGGGAGGGGCAAATACCGATATGTTTTCAGGCTGATTCTGAAGAAATTGTTGGCTTACAACAACCGGAGAATTTCTATTTAATGGTTTCGCGGTTAAGCTATTTACCATTAGTAACAGATAAGGTAAGAGATTGGAGTAGTAGTGCATATTTTTAAATATATTTTTCTTACCACTAGGTGAAAAAATATTTTAGCCGGTATATTTCTCATGAACAAGACAGAAATGTGTGGTTTGATTACAATGGAATCCCCTTAAAATTGCATTATCCAATTGGTAAGTGTAGTATTCTTCTTGTGGTAAAAGTGCACATTAGCAGAACCAGGCCAAAATTGACAAAAAATTCGAGGGACGCGTCAACGCCACTAATAATCGAGAGCGGAAATTAAAATTTTTATATAATTAAAAAGTTATTTGAAAAAAAAACACCGGCACCACAGTATATGCCGTAATAAACCTCGCAGTTTTTCACCAATTGATCCCTTAGGAGTACTTTTTGGTTGTGTGCAGCGTTTTCGCATTGCACGCACGGCAACACTACTGTGGGGATTCAGCCTCATGACTAGAAAAAGATCGTCTAGGATAAAATATATATAATTGTGTTATTTATGAACAAAATGTAGGTTAAGTATAGTATCAATGCTTAATTTAGAATAAATCAATAGTTAAGTACATAATTAACGCTTGTGGTTCTATAAACTGGAAACCCACATCGTATTATGACAAAACGTGCATTTATCAAAGAAAACTTCCCACGACAGCCGGGTCTACGTAACCGGAACGACCCAGATTTATATCTGGCCAAGGACTGTCACTCCAGCAACACTCCCCAAAAAGTCTTTGGGGAATTTGTATGCTGCTACAACAACAACAACAACAACAACATCAAAGAAAACTAAATTTCCGAATATATTTAAGTCTATTCCAAAAAAAAGAACAAGGTTTGTTTAGTTATAGAGACTCCAATGCCTGCCAGCGCAACCGCCCAGACAGCTTATTTAGCGCACCCAAGTTAGAGCGGAACTCTTCAAAAATAGGCTGACTTCCAAAACGTCAGTTGCTTTGCATACGTACAAAGCAGGGTTGTTGCGAATATTATTCCGAAATAAAAGTATTTTCCGGATAATAAACAAACCGCTTATCCAAATTAAACAAGTTTGGTATCAAATGAAAGAGGACTTAAATAGCTTTAAAACTGAAATACCTAAACGAGGAAAGCCACATTGAAAAGTAATTCAACAAAAAATGTTAATTAATTACCATAGAACAAACCTTGTCAGGTATATGCATTTCTTTAGTATTAAATTATAAAAAAAAATATAAATTGAGGTCGTTCGTTATTTCTGTTTAAAAGCGATTTCAGTCCTCTTTCATGTGATACCAAATTTGTTTAATTTGGACAGGCGGTTTGTTTATTATCCGGAAAGGACTTTTATTTTGGAATAATATTCGTAACAACCCTGGTACAAAGTATAATGTTCCATAACGCCGAACTACAAAATAATGACAATGTATACTTTTCCGAAACGCATCCGAAAAGTTATCCAAACGTATCGCTAGAACAATCAGCGCATCAGAAACAATGTTGATGCTTCGTTTGTTAATGGTAACCATTGGTGTTTTAAAAATGGAAAGTTCAGAAAAATTTTTCTTTGCTACATATATTCAATATTTAAAATATGCAATGTATATGGTTGCAATGTATCGCAACTCTGCATATACAAGTACTTTGGATACCGCAGTATAACAGTATCCAAACATTAGGTAACCCGGAGCTCCTTAGAAATACTTAATATCGATTTGATCAAAATATAGGATGACACAAATATGAATCATAACCACATGCAAAGCAATTGCTATGAATTGCTACCGTATAAATTCAGGACACGCATTCGCTTGGAGACTACGTTGGTTATGGTGGTCATAGATAGATAGATTATTAGAGGCTATGCACTACGACCTTAGGTCTATTGTGCCCTCGGAGCTCATCTCNACACACGCATTCGCTTGGAGACTACGTTGGTTATGGTGGTCATAGATAGATAGATTATTCGAGGCTATGCACTACGACCTTAGGTCTATTGTGCCCTCGGAGCTCATCTCAACACATCGTCCAATCCCAATGCTCTGATGAATCCGAGCAGTTTCGAGGGAGGTAGAGAGTGTATATGCGTAGCCTCTGGCCACATCCTTCCCAGTTGAGTTAGCCTTCTTCTCGCAACCTCATCGCATTCCAATAGGAGATGCCGTGGGGTTTCTGGTGTCACATCGCAGTACCGACACAAATCGCCTGCACTGATCCCCAGGTTATACATATGGGCCCTCCGTCTGCAGTGCCCAGTTAGCATTCCTGTTAAGAATCTCAGGTTAGTCTTTGGAAGGGTTATTAGTTCCCTAGATCTTTTGGGGTTATATCCTCCTAGAAGTTCTTTCGCCTGTCTTAGCCCAGGCGTGTTCTCCCAAAGTGCTTTTCTTAGGCTTCGTTCTTCTGCTGTTGTTGTTGTAGCGGCTACAACAACCCCGCCTGGGATCGTTCTTCTGCTCTTAACTCCTCCTTGATTGTATGAGGCCCCAATGCAAGGAAGGGTTCAGGGGCAATGGGTCGAGTGGCTGCGGCCTCTCTTGCTAGTGTATCAGCCTCCTCGTTTCCCTGTATGCCTTTGTGGCCCGGGACCCACACCAGTTGTAGTGCGTTGTTTTCCCCCAGGGTGTTTAATCTCGCTACACATTCCCATACCACTTGTGATTTAATGGTGATATGGCCTTTAATGCAGCCTGACTGTCGCTGCAGATAACTATATGTTGCAGTCTTGCTTGTCTCTGCAGAATTATTTCCGCACAAGCACTTATGGCGTAAACCTCCGCTTGAAAAATACTGGGGTAATTACCCAGGGGGATGGAGATCTTAGCCCTTGGGCCAAATATTCCTGCTCCTATCCCTTCGTCGGTTTTTGAGCCATCGGTGAACCACCTTTGGGTGTGAGCCTTGAAGGTGTTTTCTAAGATTGTCTCATTCCAGGTCGCTTTGTTGCCTAGTTCGATCCTGAATTTCTTTTCAAAGATTGTCGTTGTACTCATGTCATCCCTGTTGAGCTGGGAGATAGGGATCTTAGATCTAATTTCATCTACCAATCTGCTCGAGATCACTTTCCCTCTTCCAGTGCCCGCCTTATGAAGTTGAGGAGGGCTTTTTTGGCAATCTGTTCTATAACTATGTGCAGTGGCGTCAGGTCCAAAATGACCTCCAGGGCAACGGTGGGGCAGGTTCGCATGGCACCCGTTATACATGCGCACGCCAGCCGCTGGAGTTTGGAGAGCGATGCTCTCACTGTTAAAAGTGGTCCTCTCGGACCACGTCACCGCTCCATATGTAGCTATTGGCCTGGCTAGCATGGTGTACATCCACCTTAGGAAATAGGGGCTGCATCCCCATGATTTGCCGGCCAGTCTTCTGCACACCATTAGAGCCCGTGTGGCCTTTGTGACTGCGTACTCATGTTGCGTCCCCTCTTAATTAGGCTGCTTGTCCTTCGTGCTAGTTCCGCACGGGTGCTCTACTGGGTGCTTTGGCACGTTGGCGCTAGCGAACCAAGGTTTGTATTAGGCTTCGCGCCTAGCTTTAGCCCAAAGACTCGGGGCTATTTAAAAAAACTTTCAATATTAAAATATTACACCCGCGTTATTTTACTACTTGCGCTTGTAATTAAAATTCAAAGAAAAAAAGACTTTAGAAATGCGTTTTATTTATTGTACGTCCGAAGAGTTTTAATGGCGGTTCGCGAATGAATCCGTTTGTACATTTTGGTTCTTTAGCAAGCGTATGTGGAACGTAAATTACTCAGGGCTACCAACATTTTGACGGCGCTGAATAGTGCTGCCGTAATGTTGGTGATGCCACTACATCACCCTCCTTGGGAAGGATTATTGTTAGGTGATCAGGCTTACAATAATCCATTGCTCCAAGAGGCGATGGCAAATTGATGTGGAGGAATGAGATGTGTAATCGAAAGATTATTTCCTTCCCCCCTTAACTCATTCGTCCATATCAATTTGAAGTTACAATACAAAGT